AATTGAGTTTGGATTATCATTTTTAAGACATTCCTCGCGAGGGCCGACACTAGAACCACATGTTATGGAACCGCTTCGCCAATTGTAACGCGCCTGCTCGACCAGGGGCGGTGTGTAATCTTCGGTTTTTACTTCGCTCAACGCTTCATACCTCGTGCTTCGACCGATCTTCTTGGAAGTGCGGTCCTCGTCTTCGTACGCAGCCCTTGTTATCCGGATTCCCCAGGGGAGGGACGGATAAATCCTTGCGGAAATAAACTTCACCTTCCGATGTGGTTGGATACAGCCAAGCTTGTCAACTACTGGTACTGCTGTAATACTTGAAGTATAAAGTTTCAAAACTGTAAGCTTGATAATTTTTGGGGTAATCTGTTTACCCCGTTTCGTTTAACCTGTAAGGGGGGAGATCAGTACCTCTTTTAAATAATTGTCCGTCTTCATTCGATCACAACACAATGGTCGCCTTGTGTAAAGTACTCAACTTCAAAACCTAATTGTGCAAACCTAAACTGTTTAAATCGATATATTTTGGGCTCATCCGAAAGAGCTCAACGTCATCCATCCAAAAATGCATGCATTCGAAAAAACAACTGAAATAACGTTACCGGTATTCGAAAATGAAAATGAAGAAAAATCGGCACATCCATGGTGGTAGGCCACGTTAGTTTTAATATTTTTAATATTTTGAAAGGCCCTGCCTACTGTACCACAACCTCCTCGTCAGGCACGAGCATTCTATCGCTGAAGATGCATGACGCTGTTTGAAAGTACAGTATGGTGACATTGGTAGTGCGGACAGCAACACCATCTACTAGGGACACCACGAACGCTACGATGCATACCCTTCACGATGTCCCCTATCCATGCGCCACCTGCCCATATTCAAAGCAATTGCAGAACGTGGAGGCAGCTGAAATACAAATACGTAGATGAAAACGAGGAGGCATAACGTGAACCCTTCGTATGAAGGATGTAGCTAGGGATGATGTTGGTTGTGGTGGAAGTGCAACTGGAAAGGGAAATCGTCGAAATGACGTGGAAGGCTCAATGACGTCGCCAGAAATCAACATGTACAAGGACGCGTACAGATGTATAAATCCATCTTGAATGGTAGATAGATTACACGCTTCGTTTATTTCGCCGCCTTCTTGCTCTCCTTGAGGATTTGGCAGCGCTTCTTCCACCTAAGCGAGTATGAGTGAATTCAAAGGACAAATCAAGGTTGAGGAGAGGGCGTCGTCAACATACTCATCATATTGGCACTTCTCATACGCATGTCGAAGGTCTTGGCACTTCCACGGCGCAAACGCGGTTTCTCGGCGGCAGTCGTTCAAAGGGATCAAAATCCCCCCGCACTGGTCACGGTACGAGAGCGGCACCCGGGCATCCGCCAAGGCTTGGCGCGATGCGATGGTCGAAGCTGATCAACACATGCGTGAATATCATGTGCCTGCAGAATGCATTTCTCATTCACACATTTGCCATGGTTACCTTCGTCGCTGTGGTCGTGATGTCCGTGGGCCATATTGCGGAAGGAAACACAAATTCACCACACAACCAGCCACAAGAAATATACTACAGTTTGTATCACGCGTATTCCGGATAATTACCGGATATTGACTGCATGGTACTACTATGCATTGGCACAGTCACTGCTTAAGCTGATATATATTTATTCCTATGGGTAATGCATCCCTGCAGTGGGTTGACGCTGCTTTTACGAGCGCGTGCCACGTACTACTAGTACTACTTTGGCACATCACTGCTTGCGCATCCATCAAACGGACCAGCGACTGGGATACGTAAGCAATCCACCATGCCAGCCACAACCAACCACGAGGTACATAGCGCAATTCAAGGGCTATCTGGGTTGCAGAGTACTGTACTCGTATGGCGCAATTGTAAATGCTGACTCAGCTACGTCATACCGCCGCCCATATACATGCCATCGGCAACACTTGTCTGCGATCGCGGTCGATTCACCACTTAGCGAACGGATGTGTCGACACACATCCGTTCACCACACTGATTAAGGCGGGCTGTGATTTGCTGGTGTCCTCTCGAGGCCTTTCGTGACACGGCTGTCGTCACAAGGCCAAGTCGAAATCAGGTCCAACCAGGCTTTTGGGGTCAAATTCGGGTTGACCGTCCTAAGCCACCCGTGTTACCGCGACACACATGTTGAAGTTGGATTTTTACATGACCCCACCCCCCATATTTTATGCACCCCGTCCCCCCATTTCACAACGAAAGCCACCCTTTAAATTTTGACCCCCCTACCCTGGACCCATGGTATAAAGGAGAGATGAGTCCAAATCATCCGTGGTAAAGATATCCATCCCTCCGCGGCTCATTCTCCATTTTGCTCGCATCAATTCAGTGAACATGGACCCTGTGGCGATTTCTGCGTTGTGCTTGGAAGAGATCCAAACGTGGAACTCCCAAGAAGAAGCGGCGGACCTGATGGTGCCGCTAATCGGCAACTTGTACCGCCGCAAGAACATCGTCACGACGATCTTCGGCAAGGGCCTCGTGCACCAGAACAGCATTGACATCATCAAACTCCATTCGTACGTGTGCAAGCACGTGGGCAAGGAGATGATGCCCACCGACACCCTTCCCGTGCTCCAAGTGATCACCGAATTGAACTCGTTGAGTGCCACCCGCTTGGATTTGGGACGCACGTTCTTGCTCGTGTGCGGCGGTGCCAACACCAAGACCCCCACCAAGGAAGACATTGCCCGCGTCTTGAAGCAATTGATCATCCAAACGTCTCCCCGCACGCTGTCGTTGTCCAAGCCCCGAGACATTGTCTTGTACGGGTTTGGTCGCATCGGTCGACTGTTGGCGCGCCTTCTCGTGGAAAAGTCCGGCTCGGGCGCAAAACTCATGCTTCGCGCCATTGTCGTCCGCAAGGGGTCCAAGGAAGATTTGAAGAAGCGCGCGAGTTTGCTGCGTCGCGACTCGGTGCACGGGTCGTTCCAAGGCACGATCTCGTTCAACGAAGAAGCCAATGCGTTTATTGCCAACGGCAACGTGATCCAAGTGATTTACTCGGACGGCCCAGACAAATGCGACTACACGGCGTACGGCATTGAAAACGCCGTCGTGATCGACAACACTGGCATCTGGCGCGACGCCGAGAGCCTCGGCCGCCATCTCAAGAGCCCAGGCGTCTCGGACGTGGTGCTCACGGCGCCGCCCAAGGGCGCGTCCGTGCCAACAATCGTGGCCGGCGTCAACGACCACGTGATCAGCGGCGAGCACAAGATCTACTCGTGCGCGTCGTGCACGACCAACGCCATCGCGCCACTTTTGTTTGCCCTGGACAGCAAGTACGGCATCGACGAAGGCCACATCGAGACGGTGCACTCGTTCACAAACGACCAAAACCTCATCGACAACTACCACATGAAGGACCGCCGCGGCCGCAGCGCCGTCATGAATATGGTGATCACGGAAACGGGCGCTGCTGCTGCCGTGGAAATCGTCCTGCCGACCATGAAGAACAAGCTCACGGCCAACTCGATCCGCGTGCCGACGCCCAACGTGAGCCTGGCCATCATGACGCTGCACTTGAACCCAGAAAAGGCCGGCACGCTCACCGCCGACGATATCAACGCGTACGCTGCCAAGCTGAGCTTGAACTCGCCGCTGCAGCACCAAATCGACTTTATTAACTCAAACGAAGCCGCGTCCTCCGACTTTGTCGGGTACCGCGCGTCCGGCATCGTCGATGGACAAGCCACGATCGTCCGCGGCAACAAAGTCATCCTGTACGTGTGGTACGACAACGAGTTTGGGTACTCGTGCCAAGTCATGCGCGTGGTCCAGCGGATCTGCGGCATTTCGTTGCCCAAGTTCCCCGACCAGTCGCACGTCGACATGATCGACAGCGCGTTGAGTTTTTGATATAGATAGTTGATTCAAACGACTATACTCCTAGTAGTTAGTTGGAAAGCAAGCATTCTGGCCATGAAATATATATTTTTGTACACTGGACACGGAAATATCTTTTTATACATTGAACACGACAGCCACGTCAGCGCTAAACGCGGCTGCAGGTGAAGTGTCCGCCAGTGGCATCTGAGACCGACAGAAAAAGAACGCCGTCGACTGTCAACTGGTCTTGAGGTCGTTGGCAATGCTATCATCATCCAACCACTGGACCATCTCGTTTAGCACCCTCATAACAACACCTTCTTCATCATGATCATGCATGCGCTCATCATCCTCGTTCGATTCAGACGAGTGGTGGATTAGGGGTGGTCTAGCGATGGCGTCAGTGTCGACCGCCGCCATCGCCGACGCTTCCTGGACCTGTTGCCGTCGTCGCCACCGAAGTTGCATGGCGCGGATCTCTTTCTTGGCCGCATGATTCGCACGGACGTTGGCGGCGTGTTCCGTCGCCATCGCGTCTGCCGTTGGAAACGCGTCCACCATGTATCCCATGGTGGCGGCGTAGCTTTGGACCCCGAGGCCGCGGCGCTGGGCACGCACGACGCGGTACGCGTCTTCGTCGGCGGTGGTCACCACGTTGGCGTAGATCGTATCGGACATGGACCGAAGAAACTGGTGGACCATGTGGATCTGCGTCTGCGCTTCGGGCGACGACACCAAACGGGTCGATGGGACGCCTGCGACCGCCCGCTGGCAGTCGTGACATCGCTGCTGCCGCTCGAGCGCCTGGATTGGGCTGAGGCCGTAGAGTCGGCCAAGGAGGAGCGCGCCGAACAATCCAGTCCGCCCGCGCCCGTCTCGACTGAACAGGTACAAGTTTTGGCCGTCTAATCAAAATAGGTAAACTTGTGTGTGTTCGAGCCAGGAATGTAGGCATGTCATTCGAAGAGTAGTCAAGATCGTCATTGCAACGATGTACACAAGTACTGTACAGTACGTACCTCTCAACCGTCCTTCGAGGTGCTGCAAGTGGCGTCTTAGGTCGTGTTCGGTCGGCGTTTGGTTGCGTGCAATTGGAATGTGTAAAATGTGCAGTGGCTGGAGCTGCTTGAGGTTGGCCCTGGCCTGCGTGAGGTTGTTTTCTGCCAGCGCCTTCTTCTTCACACTCAAGTCCATGACAAAGTCCTCCACTTCTGGCCCCCGCTGCTGCACCTGCTCGAGGGTTTTTGTCGCCATAACCACGTACTTTTCCGCGGCGACCACCGCATGTTCGAGCTCTGCACGAAGTTTGGCGTGGCGAAGGTGGAGCATCGCGGTAAAGGCGAACGGGGGCAGAGTGGGGGACACTTTCCACATGATCGATGGGTCATCAAGTCGTGGTAATTCGTCTGACGGGAGCGACGCCTCCATCGCCCGCACTTCGGCCTCTTCGAGAAGGCACACAAACGTGCCAAGCTGCTCCAGCAACATGCACGTGATCGCGTCTGACCGCGCGGCGACCCGTTGCTGGCCTCGCTTGTCCGGAAATGCTTGACCACTGGGGTACGTCCCCAGCAAGATGCGATCTAGTAACCAAGCGTCGACATTTGTGTGTTGGTTGTGGTCTTGGCAACACGTAATAATACCTCGGACAATCCAATACGACGAGGCCGTGGGGCCGCTGTGGTTTAGTCGAAACTGCTTGTACTTTGTAATGTCGTCGACCGCCAAACTGCCGTCGGGTTTCATGTGCGCGTATGCCCGGGGCAATTTGAGAAGGCGCACGCCCCATGCGGGATGCCACGGGGCTTCCCGAGGAGGAAGGGGTTCCTAATATATACCATCATCACATCATCCATGAGCTCAACATGCCTAGTGTGTGTACGGAGGTCACATGAGAACACCGTACATGCAAAGCATCCACCACTGAGTTCCACCGTCGCAGTCCACGGCGCTGCAGGCGACGCGTCGTCTTGGCCCAGATGATGCCTATGTTACGGACTGCATCCCGTCGGCATTGAGCTCGACGAAGCACTTCCATCGCATCCATGCCACTACCATCCAACAGAGTGTGTTCAGATCAACACGAATATGCTTGCCAGTAGTACCTCGTTCGTCCGTCTGCCATGCGTTTCTGAAGTTGAAGTCGCCACATGTGCCGGTACCATGCTTGAATGTGCGTCGCGCTTGCGGCTTCCAACGCCTCCCGCTCCCGTCGTCGGCCCTGGAGCCACCACAACCATTCGTTTTTCGATCATTCATCTTTTTGCATGCACGCCATATAACTCAAAACACAACATACCTCGGACATGTTGCATACGAGCGCTTTCCACCCGTAGCCAATGTACAAATCCACCATGTGCCCAACCACGTGGCGCAGATGCCGCCGCCGGCACGAGTCGGGGGGTTCAAGGGACTCTGCCGGAAGCAGCAGCACCCGCACACGCTGCGCTGGCGGGTACGGCGCGTCCGAGTCGTCCTCCGAAGGCGCGTCTGAATCGCCCTCGACACACAACGGCGGATGACTCACTTGGGACAAGAATCCATCGAGCGCCATGTGTACATCCATGACGCTGTCCAAGTTGGCGTGGATGTCGTCCAGTATTTCCCGCAGCAATGGTTCGCTGGGGAATTGCACAAGCTGGCGCAAGTCGCGCAATCGGCCGGCATACTTTTCACGCCGCCACAGCTTGCGCGTGCGGTGCTCGGCCACCACGGCCGCACGATAGGCGTGGTAAAGGCTCACGTAGCTCTGGATGGGGACGGGCCAGACGTGGGGAAGCGTGAGCACGGCTTGGTACGTGGCGTTGGGCAGAGGCAGGACGCCCCGGATCCAGAGGACGCGTACGAGCTGGTTGTTGTGGTCCCCCCGTCGAGGTTGGTCCGTCTCTAGGACTATCCCGAACAGTAACCCGGGGGCGACGACCGGATCTCGAAAGGTCACGACGTCGCTCCATTGAAATGGATGAATGTGCAAGGATGCCAGAGCCGGTGGGGCCGTGAGTTGGAATGGTGGCGCCGTGCGGGTTAAAGGGACAAAGCCCACGTCTCCTTCCTGCAGGTGGCGGATCGTGTGCTCGGCATAGGCTGGGATCTACGTTAAATGTGTATCAGAGTGAGGCTGAACTCGACGTGGTGTTGTAGCTAGACGCCGTACGATATGCATGGCGTTGGTGCAGTTGTGGCACAAAGTCTGCCGACAGTCGAGGCACCTATACACCGCATGCCGTTTTTCGCATTCGTCGCAGATGAGGTCATCCGTTGGACGTGGGATGCCAACATTAGTGTCGTCTTCTTGAACTCGCCATCGAGCCACTCGACTGGGGTATAGCTGGTCAAAGAGTTCGTCATTTTCCAGCGGATGTGACATTTTGGCCTTTGCGCAAGATTTGCTGACGGTTACAACTACAGTCATCGCCGTTACATAATCCACCATTCCTACGTCGAACACGCGCATGGATTGAAGGCAGTCATGACGGTCACCACGTTAGTGGCTCTAGCACGGCCGCGGGGAGGGTTCCACTAGCCATGGTGGCGCTGATAGATTCAACTGCCGTAACATGCTTCCAACTGCCTCGTTCCCCATTGGCTGATAATCGAAGTTCGAAGTGTTGACGATTACAGGTTGAACTTCCAAACTGTCAACAACGGCACTCGAAAAAAAACAGCGTCGCCGCCGCATCCGCCATGACCCCGCTTGATGTGATCGCCAAAGTCATGGCGCTGTACGACACCGAGACTCCTGACGTGGACGCCATCATTGAGACCTTTTACCACCCCAACGCCGTCTTTTCGGATCCTCTCGTCAAAGGTACGAACCAAGCACAAGCCTGTTAAGTGTACTTATCGATGTGGCTACAGTCCACGGCCGCGACAACATTGCCGCGCAATTTCGCGTGTTGCCGTGCCTGTTCAGTTCCGCTAGTGCTTCCATGATCCGTGCATCCGTCGCAGGCGTAAGCATCCTCACCATCGATAGGTAGTATCTCCATTCCATCCAGTCCATGATGCACCGACCTCATCGGACGACTGTCTGTCTGTCATTCATTCCAGCATCGTATCAGGGCGGTTCCGTCCATTTCCCAAGTACTTTGGATGCTCGTTTCGTATGTTTACCATCCTGGAAGTCAAAGACCTCAAGGTATCGTAGGATGCATCAACCTCTCTCATCTACAGAGCTCACGTCCCTGTAGATTGTGTCGCACACAGACCACTGGGACTTGAAGTCGGTGCTGGAAAGCGTTCCCCTGTTCTCAACACTGTACCCCAAGGTGCGCTATCTGCTCGGGTACTCCTCCACCAAAGTGATCAACGTGTTGTCGCCGCGCGCGTTGCCGCCGTTGCCTGTGGAATTAGAAGCGAATCAGCTGGAAGAGTCCAAGGTGGACACAGTCTAACCTCAATCATCCCAATCAATCTCTGCATAACCCATACTACTATCGTACTTCTGTACCAGCAAGCAAACACCCTTCCCTGCCGCCTTCTTCCATCACACACTAATAACAGTACATACACTCACTCCTTCCAAAGGCAGTCGGCATTCTTTATATTAACTGCGCCCTGTGTTCAAGTTGTGCTGGGGACTCGCATACGACCTGCCAAACGCTTTCGGTTGCTGGGGCTGCGTTAAGTTGTCATCCTGGTAAAACGAATTGCCGCCAAATACACTGGCACCGCCACCCCCCCCCCCCCTTGTACAACCAGCGCTGGGTCTTGAAACGAGTACGACGACGACGACGATGGCGGCGGCGGCGACACGTCGAACGCGCCTTGCCTCGCCCAAAACGGCTGCTGCTGCTGCTGGTCATCATGGTGACTAGTACTGGTCAACCCATTCGTCCACGAGCTCTTCTGGTCGAACGACTGCGTGTACGCCGGTCGATGCAAGTGCTGCTCGGTGGGCTCGCGGCCGTAGCTGATGTTGACGTTGGGCAGCATCTGCTGCAAGAACGCGAGCCCAGACAGCGACGATGACGGCTCTTGAGCCCCCATCGCAAACGATCCAGACGACGAAGGCGACCGGTCAAACAACTTCTCGGGGCTGCGGTACATGCCGCCAAACGGGTTGTAGTCTTCCATCGATGTCGGCTGCGAGGTTGAAAGGGGGTCCGAAGGGTTGGCAAAACTGAACCGAGACCCTCGCTTGCCGCCAGAGGTCGGCGGGGCAGTTGCGGGCGGTGGCGGCGGCAGCATGCCCCCCCCTCCCAAGAGGGGCTTGGCGCTCAGCTGCACACCGAGCAGCCCCGCCAACGCCTCCGACGACTCGTTGCGCGGAGTGAACGCAGAGTCGACGGCGGCAAACTCAAACGCCGACGGGGGCGGCGATGGGGCTTGGCGCAGGTCCGGGAAGTGCGGGTCAAAGCTCCACGCCGACACATGCGCCGACTTGTCTACGGAGGACGACGGCGGCGGCGGCGGGGGGGGAGGCTGCGGACGGGACGGTCCGATGTGAGGCTGCTGCTGTTGGTGCACGCGGCCAATCCCGCCGTCAAAGCCCATGCCAAACGGACTAAACACGTGGTGGATGGGGCGCGCCGGCTCTTGGCTCGCCTGGGTCGTTCGAGGAAACGACTGCGCCCACAGAGGTTCGTCCGACGAGGGGCTGGCTGCTAGCGGTGTTGTAGCCTTGTTGCTCGTGTCCACATACAGAACCGGCTTGGTCGGTGCTTCCGAGGCTTGTGTGTTGTGTGCGACGGGGCTCGACGGCGATGTAGATGGCGGGGGAGGAGAAGGGGTGGCGGCGGCAGCGGCAAACTCAGACTGCTTGGGCCGAGGTTTCGTGTCTGCTTCTGTGTATTGTTTGAGCTTGGATATGGCCGCGGCGCTCTGTGCTTTGCGCTGGGCATCCGACGACACCACCGGCGGCGCCTTGCCGTCCGACGCTTCGCGCATGGTCGATGTGAGATGTGGAAATGCATTGCCGCGCCGGTCTTCGTACGGCGCGATATCACGAAAACAGCCCTTGCCTGCTACTAGAACAGAAAACACAAACATTCGTTAGTCTCGACCAGACAAGGATCGCCCCATAGCCATCCATACCCGTTTGCATCTCCTCCTTTGTAAAGCTGTCGTCGGTTTCGCCCAGTTCGTGGAGGTACAGGCACTCGGGGTTGTTGCATGAGAGGTTGCGCAGGAAGAAGTTGCAGTACTTGGTCGTTCCAAACGACGCCCTGGTAGAGAACAACAGGAACATGACCACCACATGGACAATGAGACGGAAGGAGGAATGCCTACCGCAGCAAACTGCCGTCCAAGATGTAGCCGTCAATGAGGTCGATGCAGTTCTGGGCATCGGGTTTATGTGCAAATGTAATGTACGCGCTGGCAGTGGCGTTATTTCGGTCTGTGTTTAAATGTGACTTGTTGACGACGGCTTTGACGATGCGGCCATACTGCCCAAAGCATTCCTTCGACCGGAGCATCTACGATGAGTCCCTGCCTGGTCACAATCCCTGTAGCACGGAATGGGTCGAGGTACCTCGTCGTCTGCGTAATGGACGGGCAACCCAATGACGTACACCAGGTTCCTCTGCATGACGCGGACGTTGACGAGACTTTTGCGGTTGATCGGCGTGGGTTTGGGAGGTGCAATGGCCTTCTTTTCAATTTTCTCCTTCTGTTTCCTCTGTTTCGTACGCCGCACCACACTACAACAGGATGCCCAGGGTCTCGTCAGCACACTTGACAACACGTGGATGCCATGCATATCGTCGGCACGTACTCTTCTCTGTCGACGTTGCCCTTTGACTTGGCGAGCTCCGAGTATGGCGCCCGACACGCTGGACAAAGCGCGTTGTACTCGTTCTTAATCTGATGCCAGCACCATAGACACACCTGGACAAACCGACCATTTAGTGTTGGGCACGACAGTCTCCACCTACTTGGTAGCCACAACGACATGCGTCGAACGTCTTGTCTGTAAGGTCGAGTTCTTCCATGCACAGCGGACAACAGTCTGCCTCTTCTTCTGACATGGTGATGATTGTGCTTCTGCTGTAGATGAAGGTCGTGGATATGCCTCGATGGGATGATGGCACCCTATGTACACAATGGCTATCTCTCGCTCGCGGAACTGCCCAAAAGAAGAACTGGGCCCTACGTTTTGTTGTTCGGATTGGAATTTTTTTCCTACTGACTTGTCGTGACCATTGGCTGGAATTGTTTGGTAGTAACGGCACGCTGGACTGTTAATGGAAGAAACCGGTCAAAATGAATACTCTGGCGAATTCCGTACGCTTCGTCAGCCCGTTCTGCCAGTTGATATTGCTCCAAACCTCTTACAATGGATACCTTTAACACCTGCATAAGATTTAACCCATGCATTAGCCACCGTTCTGGCCGTTCCAAGCGATACATATTCTGAAGTCGTCGCCCTGTCCCCGACATGTCGATTGCACAGCTCCAGGTATTGCCCCCACTCGCTCCTTTGCGATTCAGGGGATTGGTCTGCGGGGATCGCTCTTGGGCTTTGGGGGCTCGCGACTCTCTCAGACCTACGGGGGTCTCAAAATCTGACACTAATAGACCGACCATTCCAGTAGGACTTTAGTGATTTTAGGGCCTACGTAGTGTATGTAGTCTCGCATAGCAATCTGCAGCAAGTGGAAAAGTGAGGTTGCTTCGAACGGCCAGTATCACGAAAATATAAGCTGTTACAGTACGTAATAAAATGAGCGAATTCTCATTTCGAACAATTAATATCTGATTGGAATGAAGGAACCACGTGCCCATTACTATAACAATTCTGTATACATACTACCGATAGAACTACGAGTAGAGTGGCTACTGGTACCAGGGGAATGATTTCTTGGGGCCTACACGACGAGTAGAGCTGAATGGGGCGGGCATAACTTAGGGTTAACTAACTTACAGTAACGTTGTCGCCTCAGGGCACTGTGTTACAGGAATATGATTAATCCGGATAACCACTCTAAGACAATTGTATTTAGCCAATCAAACATTGGTTATGTTGGATCTGCCAATCGCATTGTGCCACCAAGTGAAAATGTGCCTTGGAAATGTGGGGAAGTGATCACTTTTGAGATGCTGACCAAGTTTGAGTCGAAGAGCAACCGCGTCAAGGGGCTGTGCTTCCACCCGACGCGCCCATGGGTGCTCACGTCGCTGCATAATGGTGTGATCCAACTCTGGGACTTCCGCATGGGAACCCTCATTGACCGTTTCGACGAGCATGACGGCCCCGTGCGAGGTGTCGACTTCCACAAGACTCAGCCGCTGTTCGTGTCTGGCGGGGACGACTACAAGATCAAGGTGTGGGACTACAAGCTTCGTCGATGCCTG